TTGAAAAAACCAAGTCCTTTAGAATTAGCGCGATCTTTATGAAACAACCCAAGTATAATATTCAGTGATTTCGCAGTCATTTCTACATCATATTCCGAAGGTACGATCTCAGGTGTCTCGAACAACTTGATGCCATACACTTTTTCAACAATTTCATATCCTTTTGTGATTTCTCTTGCATTCCTACAACAACAAATCATTGCTGCCGCCAATTGATCCGTCATCTCCAATCTTTCCTCCTCCAGATCGCACACTCTCTCTTCAGCTTCTTTCTGTTTTTTAAGTTTTTCCAATAATTCTTCCCAAAGTGGAAATGCATACTTGTAACCATCGGATTGGTGTTTAGAACATGCGTAGAATAATATTGTGTAAGTGTCAACGTTTGGCGTCATTACACCAGACCGAAATAGCCGATCGTAATGTTCCCGCAATGACATGAAATCTTGTACGCGATCACACGCAGTCAATAACAGGTTCCCGTGGGCGGTACTTGGATGGATTGTTGTTTCATTCGCGTTTCTTACCATGGCATCGATAACGGTGCTGGGGAAGACGATATTATGAGGGAAAGTGCATTTTTCTCCTATGCCATTTAAGAGGATTGTGTATGTTTGCATTTCATTGGGTAGGAATCCTCGTCGTTTCATCTTGAGTGTTCGATAATTATTACTTAATTTTTATGCTCCGCTTCATGAATCAAGGAAATATTATTTTCTTTACCTCTGTAAATAAGAGAAAGCCCATTGAAACTTTTCCCTCTTTTACGCATTCCGTAATCAACATATTCCAAGCTTCCTGCGATAAGACTTGTTTCGGGTCAAGAAGCACAGCTCTATATGCCTTGTGCAGTTGGCCTTCTTCCACGAGTTTCTGGATTTCAGCTGAAAAGGTAGCAACCTTTTCTTTGCCATTAGAAGCATTGGTTGATGGTGTTGGCGTTAGCTGTGGTTGTGAAGATGATGGTATGTTTCTTAGCGATTTTTTTCTCAAAGGATAAGTATCTGGACGAACAATAGGCGAGGAGAAAGTTGCAAGATTCGAGGATTGCGAAAAAAGTAATAGAGGAGAATGACAATTAAGTGCAGAATGTCTTGTGATTTTATTATTACAATTACAATCTGTTAATAACGATGATAATTTTAATGGTTTGGTCTTTAAATACAACCGCAACTTTGTAAAGTTACGCGTTAAAAGAATCATGGTATGGTAAATATAACGTTTCTGATTGAAATAGAAGATGAAATAAATTTTTTGTATGAGTCATTTATAGTCATAATATATTCTATTGGGTGTTTCTACAAAATTAGTTATTAAAATGCTTCGAGATAAAGATAAAAACCAATAAATAAAGTAATGTATTAATTCGATATCGTTGAAAACTCGTACTTGTCCGGCGAATTAAAAATTGATTTGTTATTGTCGAGTTGCTGCGCTGCAATCTTATTAGCGATTTCTTGCTGTTCGCGTTGAAGCGCGAGTTGTCGCTCGTACGCGAATTTAAGGAAAAAATTTAGACTTTGGATAAATTTATTTCCAGTCTTAATGACATTGAGAGAGGATTAGAATTTGGGTAATCTCATAAAGTAAATTTAATAGAATGGAAAAACCACTTTACCACATGTTCATTTATTCTATTAAACAATTCAACTGTATATCCACGCACAGATTTCAAAGGGTAGAATAATCCAAGTCCGACTGGAAAAAGACCACCTTGATTCTGTGGTAAATACGACAAGAACTGAAAAAAAAGGACAGATAAGAATACATCAAGGCAATAAAAGTTTCGAGCGAAAAAGCAATTCATCATAAAATATTACCTCGATTATCTGTTCATCAGTATGAACATTGTCGACAAATGCTTTATACAACGCCTCCACTTCCTCCATCTGCATATTCTTAAGTGTCCGAAGTCTCGCAATTTGAAAGTAGACATCAAACGATTTGATGCTTCGTGTTTGCAGATAATTATGGAAATCCTGAATAATAAAACAGGATCAATTCAATTGTTCTTTATTTAACAAAACACATGAATTTTGGTGCCCACCTGTTGATAATATTTATAAGAAATTGTCTTTCTCCAACCTTCAATACGATTCATATTGGCAGCAACTTCACGTAATTTTGCATTTTCGTCTGGAAAAGCAAGACCCGAACCAAGAACCTTGTTGTTTTCTGTATTTGCAGGTGTTATTCCTATTTTGGTAGAGCCAAAAGTCTCCATTTCGTAGAGGGCGGTAAGTCGTACAAATCGTTGAACGTACTCTTGGAATTTTCCGCGAATTGCTGTCTCGCCATAATGATGTTGTATCGCGTGCGTGACCTAATTCGAAATGGCGCATATTGTCATTTATTTCTTTAATATCATAATAAAGAAAAGATTTAAAATACCTCAGCCATGAATTCATGATCAGTAGTATCCCATTTATCTCTGCCCCACGGTTCATTCTTAGATGAAGGAGATTTTGTTCCCTCGTCCGAGCGATCATCTTGCTTAGTGCCATAAGATGGCGTAACAATGTCTTTGCTAACTGTGATCTTTCCTGTATCTATATTGCACAATACATCCCACCATGAACTATGGTCTTCAAATATTCTATTAGTAACGCCAGCAATAAAACCTGGTCTAAAAAATACATATTTTAAGTTTAGCATCCTGATTTTCAATAGATCAAGAACGGGAGACATTAAAGGAAATGAAAAACTACACTTTTAACAAATCATCCAATTGTGTCAAATTGGTATACGGAAAAGCACGTTCCGAGAACCCTCGTAATACACCACCACTGCCACTTCCCATAGCACATGCGGCCAACACGTAATTAGCAACATCACCAGACGGATGTCCTTGGCCCAAGAATATTATACGTTTTTGAGTCAACAAGGCATTAAGCAAAAGGATAATCGGGTGTGTTTGATTTCCACTGGTATCAAGGTGAGGGTGAAATGGATGAGTATTGGGTGAGGGTGATGGAGGGGAAAACGTTGTGATGAGTTTGATGAGAGAGAACTTTAAAGAGAAAGGGAAAAACATTCATAAAAAATTATAGCGCAACATCATTATTGATTATTATTCGATAAAATGCAGACGGTGAATATATTTTTTCGACATATTTTTTTTTGGAGAAGAATAGAATCTGCTCTTTCACTGAGGAACGCAAGAATAGGTATTAAATAGATACTTACATCACCAACTTCTTCTGGGTTAACAGTCAAAGGAACTCTAATTGGTAAATTGATTCCATTATAATACACTTTTGTCTCGTAAAAATGTCGATCTTTATGCACATTACTGAGATTAGGCAGCAATTCACGAGATGACAAATCAATATACGTGCCACGTCTCATTCTCACAAATCGCTCTTCTTCGGAAATTTCTACAATACCCGTATTTTCGGAGTTTGTATACGATGGTACCATGGCTTTTACTGCATTCTCCTGTGTTGTGTTAGTTGCTGCTTGATTATTATTGTTGCTATTGTTGTTATTTTTCTCAAATTCCACAAATTTCTCTTCAAACAAATCTTTGGATTCTGATGAACGTAGTATCGCTTTCTCCTGTGGCGAGAAACGCGGCATAAATGACACGTCCATTGAATTGACAGCCTCGTAAAGTGATTCAAGGCATTCTATCGAAGGATTTTGAAAGTAATTTTCGAGGGCTAAAAGTAAAATTGGCTAAACATAGAACTTTGTTTGTTAACGAGGTACTCCAACCACAATAAGTAGATTAGGCATAAATGAGATGGATATAACCTTATAAATATGTAAGAATTGATGCTTTGTACAAATTGCCATTGCTTTCACAACGGCACCCCTATAAGTTAAATATTTATTTGGTTAATAAGTAATATCTGTTAAAAAACGCGCAATTCTTGTATTGAATTTTCATATCCTTCTCTATTCTTACCAACCTCCTTGCCTCTTTATCGTGTTTTGTACGCACCAGATTCAATGCATATAACAAGGAAGTTCTACCCTCTTCTTCACCAACCTCGTTATAAACATTAGAGATTCTTTTGGTGGTATCGATTGAAATGTCATCCACATTCGGAATCGTTTGGTTCAAGAAGAATACAGTCCAGTCCTCGGGTCGAAGATGTGCACCATCAGGAAGCATAAGCTCAGCTAATAAACTTTTAATATTGGGAAGAAAAAGTTTTTGCGTTAATGAAACCCAGAGAAGCCAAACACGTACGAAAAGTAGGGAATACTATAGGTGACCACTACTCACTGTTCATCGGTTCCAGTGATTAGAGGATACTGATGCGTTAAAGAGGCACCTCTGTCAATGTCGAACTCCGCAAGCAATATATGGCTAACATGATTTCCCAAAGTAGGCATAATTGCTCGAACGACAATATGTATATAAATTTTTGAACGGTTTATATTTCTCAAACCCAATTTTTCAAATTTCCTAATTCGGAATCGTATCCTAACCTAACGCTAACGCTAATCCGGAAATATATCAAATATATTTGTCACATGTTGGCTATTTTTGAAGTGACGAAAAAAAATTCGCATGGATGATCATCTTTTCCTAACGCTAAATATATTTATATAATAAATATCTACGATATTCAATAGTTTTTTTTTTTTACAAATCCCAAGATGATGAACTAATATTTAACAATTTACGCCAGTGGAGATACAAGAGAATGAAGAGAACGAAAGCCGTTTTTTGTCTTTTATGTATATGTGTGGGTGGGTGGATGGGTGGGTGGTGTTGTGTAATAGATATGTGACTATTTACAAACCTAAAACACTTTTTTCTTTTCATCAAGAGAAATTCCTCCTGGACCCATATTAACTAGTAACAGCAGCCCACCCATAATACTCAACGTCTGGAAAAAATCGTACTTCAAGAAATCACGTTGCGGATGCGCATGATGCACCGACCACCAATTATTGAGTAACACGTTGGAAATCGACAAAAATAGCACCAAAAACGTCGCTGACCATTTCGCCTTGAACCCAACCACCACCATCACACAGGCAACGAACCCGACAAGCGAGACCAATGCTCGCGTGATTGACCAATCGCCATTAAAGATGAAGCCGATGAATAAGAAGATTAAGAGGACGCGACCGGCTAATTGAAAGTATGTTTTTCGATCTGTCTCTGATAGTTGTGGTAGCCCTGGGAATAAGGATCTTTTTTTTGAGAAAGCATCTGAGAGTACCATCAGGAGGCCACCGATCACGGATAAGTTTCGTAGGAAGAAATTTATGTCGAAGATTAGCCCGTAACCAATTGATTGGGCGATAACTACGGCAAAAAGTCCGCCTACTGAATATTCTGGAAATCTTCTCTGGACAACTAGAAAAGAACATGCTACCATCGTCTATTTTTATAATAGTAACCCCGTATACAGTACGTGTATAATATTTTTATTTTACAAGTGCGAGAACGAACGATAAAAAATATTAGTAAACTGAATAATGTCAAAAAGCAAGTAAAGTATTCTCCACTTACGAGAACATTAACAATGAGAAACAAATGCGACAATCCCCAAGGAAAACTTCGGTGTTTTTCAAGATACCAAAGTTGGTCGTCCCATTGAAGAATAATTCTGATCGAGTCTTCAATAAATGTTACCACGATAAGAAAACGAGCAATGGCCGGAATGTATGGTTTCAAAGGTTGCGAGAACTTTTCGAGATATTCCTCGAATTTCGACGTGTATTCTTTTACTTGGTCCATTATTATATTACCTTTGACACTTTATTCGTCAAATCTTGTGTAGATAAAATTTGGTTGTATAAAAATTTGAAATAAGAATTAGGAAGTCATAAAATTATGATACTAGATAATAGATACACGACTCGTCGTATATATAAATTTTTGGCAATGAATCGACTGAGGCTTTACCTTTAAGAATTGGACACGTTTTACACATTCCAAAAACCACCGATATTTATGATCTTTCCTTTTTTTGGTTTTTTTATCGTATAAATAGGAAAAAAGTAGATCAATAAACATACAATTATAATAATAATAATAATAATAATAATAATAATAATAATAATAATAATAATAATAATAATGAACACTATTTTCAAACCAGTTCCGCTGACTGTTAACTCGGATCAAGTTACGTGTCGCGCACATAAACTCGAGACATGCACCACCTGTGACCTAGACTTTTCGTCGCTAAACCAACTCTCCAAAAATTTAAAAGCGATAAATGGCCGCATTCCTGCTTCTAACGCCGCGAACCCCAATCTCTCGACACAGATTAACCGTCTAAAAGATGAAGGTAACAAGAATTTCCACGCGCAAAACTATGCCGAGGCTATAAGATTGTATTCACTCGCAGTGGATATGGCGTTTCAACGACCCGTTTGGGAGTCGTATATTGTGGCAAAGGAAGAAATATCGTTATGTTTGTGTAATCGGGCCGCGGCCTATATTGCGAATGGCGCTTGGGTAGACGCGTATGTTGATACTGTCGCTGTTGTTAAGATTAGAAGGGAGTGGTCGAAAGGTCATTTTCGAATGGGGAAGGCACTAGTAGGACTTAAACGGTACGATGAAGCAATAGATGCTTTTAATTTGGGATTGGAACTAGAACCGCAGAGTGAAGAAATAAGAACAGCTTTGAAGGATACTGAGACTTTGATTTCTCAGCTGCAAAAAGATTAAGGATTCTTTTATTCCTTCGCGCTTAAGAAATTCTTCAAATCGCGCGTATATTTGACTGCTTTTGTATTTTCTTAATGATTGAACAATAAAAGCACACACTTGCACAAGGAAAATCAATAACAGCCATAAAGAATATAATTAAATAAGTAATAAATAATTAGAGATTATTATTATATTTTTCTTTCAATTTTAATATTGTGAATGTGTTAAAGGTGAAAAACAACAAACAGGAAAATTAGAAGTGTATATAATAAATTATAATAAATTAATGAATTAAATAGAAATACAATACAAAAAAAAATTAATCAATTGTTTTAATTGTTTTTTTTTGCTGTTGATGGTGTTGATAAATATTGGGAGATTTTTTCGTCGATGCAAATCACAAGCCTGTTGGTTTTTGCAGAGTGGTATCGTAAGCACGGATAACTTTGGATTCCTGTTTTAAAAAAAGTATATTAAATAACGCGCACTTGAGAAAAAAATGATGAGG